TCACAGCATTCACCATACCAGGCATGCAGAGAATTTCAGACTTCTCCTTTGCTTCTCCCAATACAACAAGACTTTTTATCCTTTATGGCAGTTTATCTCCTGCTTTGATACTCAACCTTCCAGGCAGAATTCTGTGATTCCCTAGAACAAGTTATCCTGTGCCAAATAGATCTTGGCATTAGGAAACTTTTCTCTGTACCTATTTCTCTTTGATTATTGTGTCAAATATATATGGGGGGTTACATTCCTCTACCACTTACCTCCTATATTATGGTGTAGGAGTTCTCCCTGAGCATCATCTGTGCTGCCTTCAGGCTGTTGAGTTTCTCTGAGCCTCTCCTGCTTTCTTTGAGAAACGTCAGCATCATCTGCATTGTTCACCCAAACTGATTGCATGGCCTGCTTTGGACTTTACTTGTCCTGTCAAGGGTAATACTGTGACCCCTGTTTCTCTGTAAAAATGTAGGAGGTTTTCCTTTGAGCAGCCATGGGCTATGCTGGGAAGAAAAGAAAGAAAAGAAGTGAGAAGCAAAACTTGGCATCTCTGTGGTACTTGTGTTACACCCGCACTGCTGTTGGGAGGGTGGATCATCATAGAATTTTAGGGGTTGGAATGGACCTTACATACCATCTGCTCCCAACCCCCTGCCATGAGCTGGGACATCTCCCCACTAGACCAGGATGCTCAAGGCCTTATCCAACCTGGCTTTGAACACCTCCAGTGTTGGGGCAACCACCACATCCCTGGGCAACCGTGCCAGTGTCTCAGCACCCTTACAGTAAAAACCTTTTTTCTAATATCTAACCTAGACTTCCCCTCTTTCAGTTTGAACCCGTTATCCCTTGTCCTATCACTGCAATTCCTCTCTGGCTCCTTGAAGCCCCTTCAGATATTGAAAAGTTGCTCTGAGGTCTCCATGCAGTCTTCTCTTCTCCAGGCTGAACAGCCCCAAGTTCCTCATCCTGAGGCTGCTGGATCCCGAGGGTGTTTGCTGATACTGGGAGGTACTGGCATCACCAGAGCCTTTCCAGCATCCACTCATGGCCTGGGCTGCCAGCCAGCCGGCGCCAGATAGGGTTATATCCCTTCCATGGCTGGAGGGCCAGTCCTTTGGCAGCTGCTTCCTTTTGAAGTGTTCAGACCTTATTAAGTAACAGAGTGTAGTGAGAAGTCCTCTCAGCCTGTGGAAGTAGGTGCTGGTGGTGGATGTGCTTTAGTGACTGAAAAGATTGAAAGAGGGCTGATATGAGTTCCTCCTTTGGGGGAAGAAGTAGGGTCCATGCTTCTAATCTATGGGCATCTGGTTTCAGACAGTTTTGGGCGTATTTCTGTGGGCCCAGCTGTGGCTGCAGTTGCTTGCTGGGTCAATAAATCTGTCTCAGAGCATGTGCTATTTCTGTAGCTACACTACAACTGTGAAGACAGTGATGGAGGTGTAAAACAGGGGCAGGAACATGAAGGACCATGCTGCAGGGGTGGCTGAGGTTAGCACCAGGGCCTGGGTCAAGCAAACTGCTTGTTCTTCACATCAGCTCAGCATCTGAGCATCTGTGGGGCTGCACCAGTACCGTGGGTTGTGGTCCAGCAAGTGTGAGGAGCTCATGGACATCAACAGCTGCCAGCACGAGGCCCTTCATGCTGTGTGGCCATGGTACAGGGTGTCTGTGTGACGGTGAGAAGAATGTGCTGTTTGGTGGGTGTTGGTGTATGGGAACTGCTCGATTGCCTGCTCTCAGGCAGGCTCAGGGGAGGGCATGTCGTGGTCAGACATTTGCCTTTCAGTATTCTAGGTCACAAATTATTTTCTGTTTTGGGCACATTCCCAAACATAGCCCCATACTAGCCTCTGTGAAGAAAGTTAACTCTACTTCAGCTCAAACCAGCGCAGGGAGTTATCTCAGGTATTGTGTTGCCTGCTATGTAGCTGGTCAAATTTCATCTCTAAGGGAGATCCCTGCAGGTCCACAAGCCAGACTTTTACCTAGGGTCTGTTAGGATTTCAATTTATAGTATCTTATCTTTTGTTGTTGCTGTCAATTTAAGGCCGGAGAAACTGTTCAGACTGTCTGGTTTAACCTCTTGTTGAGGACAAGAATTTCCTCTCAGTCCTGCATCCTGTGGGGTGCTGTTGTGCCAAGGTTTCAGGAGCTCCTCGCATGCTGGGGCTTTAGTCCTCATTTTGGAGCCTTTCAGCTGTAATTTTTAATTAGGTCCTGCTTACATGTGCTGTGAGAAGATCTTCAGTGTAACTACATCCTCTTTGCTGAGTCCTCTTGGACAGTGGTATAATACAAGCACAGCTGCATAGTTGGTGTAGGGGATTTGGCTGGTCTTTAATCTTGGAGTCTGGAGGAGAGAGAGATTGTTTTATAACTCTCATAAATCTCCTGCTATTGCTTTCAGAATTATTTTGTTTCTGTTCTGTAAGACTGTGCTGGGGCAGAGAAATCCTATTTGCCCTGATGGATAGCAAGGTGTGTCTCAGTTTGGACCAGTTTTTGTCTGTGCCCTGTGCTGAAGGTGGATGATGCTTTTGTAGCATCTCCTAATCTCAGCACAGCTGCTTGAGTCTTGACAAGCCTTTGCCTTTAAGACTGAACAAGGAGTGCAGAGTTTGCTCTATATCCCACCAGAGACCATGTGTATCAGAAGAAGGGAGGAAGGATCCTCCTTGTGAGTGTGAAAACAGGAGTCTGATGTATTGCTGTGTACAGAGACTGGCAGGAAAATGATAAGCACTGAAGAATGATTTTGGAAACCTAAGTAAGTAAGAATTTTTTCATAAAATCTGAATTCTTGATATCCCATAAATCAATTCGGGTGACTGTATATTACAGATAATATGTATTTTTGAAAGAACCATTTCTTAAAAAAGCTGCATGTCTCTCCAGTGAACTGAAATTTAGGCAAAGATGATGCATGATATTTCTGGAGTTGAAGTTTTGATATTAATGGAGGCTGAGGGCTGTTCAAATACAGCTTCCTAAAGCCAGTGTAGTATGCAGCCCAAGCAATCACAAAAATTAATATTGAGTCAAAGCTAAATATTTAATCTAAATTTTCCCTGTGAGATTGATTTTTATAGTTGTATTGTTATAAAACATAGTGTACATAAAATCAGCATTTTGATGGGATTTTCTCAAGCAGTGCTACCTTCCCTGTTTTGTATCCCATCCATAGAGGGGGGTGTGTGGCACTTCTGATCTGTAGCTGGAGTTGTGTGGATAAGATGCTCTCTTGTCCTTTTTCTGAAAATATTTCCTCTGCTCACCATAACAAATTCCCAATAGTTTAAATAACAATTTCTCTAGTTCTGGAACAGAATGTAGGCTAGGGAAATGTATGGTGATGGTGTGTGCTGTCCCTACTTCCCCCTCACTTACCCCAGAAGGCTTTTTTCTCTGGGCTGTGTTAGTGAAGCTGCAGTCAGCATCCCTGGGAGTGGAGGTGTCAGCAGAAACTGCTGCTGTACCTTAACCCTGCAGTCAACCCAGCTTGGACACCTCCTTCCCCCACCTATAGCCATGCTGGTACTTTCTGTCCATTTGTAGCATGACTGTTTGGCTGCTTGCTAGACATCTAGAGTTAGTCTTTCTCTTTTACCTGTATCTTCATGTTGTTCTCTTACAAGGATGGGTTGGGGCATGGCAGGGTTTGGCAAAGCATGGGCAGAGGTTGTCTGGATTAGTGGTGGGCCATACACTATTGCTCTGAGAGCTTAGGCTGGTGGTTGGAGATTTATTTGAGCGATGTGATGTGTGTTAACAGTGGAAAGGAATCAAAGGGTTCTCAGGATACATCATGTGTTGTCTTGGAAAAAGGAGGGAGCCTGGGCACAACATCCTTTCTTGCAGGACTGGGAAATGTTTTTCCACTCTGCATTGTGCACACCAAAGTGTACTAAATTCCGGGCACCTCCAGTGAGTGCTGCTAACACAGACTTGCTTTTCCTTCTGCCAGGCCAAGGAAAAGTGGTTGTACAAGAGCAGGGAGGGTTTGGATGAGCATGTTTATTCATTCCCCCAGAGAGCTCTATTTTCAGAATTCCTGTTCTGCACAGGCTATTGATACCCGTGAGGTGTGAAGTTCATCTCTGCTAATTTTAACTTTGCAGTCTGGGGGCATGTTGAGGGGTGCCTTGTTCTTGTCTGTTTGGTTTTGTTTTTGAAGTGAGATTTCTGTGTGACAGCCTGTCTCAAACTTCAGGGATCCTTAGCTGTAATTTTAGCTGGTGAATAAAAAAAAAACCCAAACAACAAAAGCAAGACCATTATTACAAATGTTTCTAAATATGAAAAATGTACTCACCAAAAAATAAATACTTTCTTTCAAGGACAGGTTGACCGACACTGGGATTGAATCTCTGATCCCTAAAATTATGTTCTATATCTCTATCTAATTTAGATTAAACGACAAGGAGTCCTTAGGTAACAGCACTAACAGTTTCCTATTTCCTATGGTTTAAGGCCAAAAGGTGATTTATGTAAGGAATCAGCATTTACCTCAGCACTGATGGTATTTTGAGAGACTGAAACAATTTCAGTGAGATAAGATTCAATAGGGAAGAAATATCTATATACTTCTCAAAACAGATACACATGGATCTTTGCAGAGAATTGTGTGCATTTAGTATTTCTCCTGCTTCATTTATTTGACTAATTGGGACACTATTAACCATATTTAATTTTTTTAAATCTCTGTTTCCTCTAGAAGCGTTGAGATTGTTCAAGGCTGAGATTGTTCAGCACTTCTAGGAAAAGGAGGGAATAAAGTTCCTATTTTTTTTTTATGGATCCCTGAATGTTGAACAATTTGAGCTATGAGGGCTTGATTTCTTGTAAAATTAAGGATGTGTGTCAGAATATATAGAGAGCTTCAAATACAATAGTATTTGAAGCTTCAAATACAATACAAATGCTGGCAGGATTTGTCATTCAAACTCCTGAGTAGAGTCTCTGCCCCGAAACACAATCTTCTAACATTTCTTTTACTTTTTCAGGTGGATTTGGAGCCAGAAGGCAAAGTGTTTGTTGTCATAACTCTTACAGGAAGCTTCACGGAAGGTAAGGGAATTATTTTGGCTTGTTTCCATTGAGATATGGACTCTGGTGTGTATTCCTGCCTGCAGTTACCAAGCAGTACAGAAGTGAATGGCATTCTTCATGGGCCACGTGCTGTGGTGTGCTGGAGATTTCTGGAGTGATGGGGGAAGTCTGGAAGGGGCTGTCAGTAACAGCTCGTGCTGTGTGTGCCCTCTGCTCTGATCTCGGACCGGGGGAGCCAGTTCATGCTCGAGCTGGTTTATTTATCTGAAGTTGTCCTTCAAACAGATTGGTTTTGTCACCCATACTTTTCACCTGGGTGCCTCTTGAAGGGCAAGCTAAGGAGAAATTAGAGCATGTTTAAAATAGAACACGTTTAAAACATCTGGATGATTTTTATTCCATAATGGTTCCCATCTACTTCATGAGCATTTCTGCTTCCTGGGTTCACTTTGCACAGGAAACTTTGAGGTTTTTAGTTTGACAGCTGCCCTGAAAAAGCATATGGGCAGCTTTTTTTTTATTTTTCTGTAACTGTATTTTATAGTGTGATGTTTTTAATTTCCCTGTTGTTTATTGTGATACCAGTTATGAGAGTGGATGTGAGCTGTGCTGCAGCAAGCCAGGAAATCTGGGATAGGGCACAGAAAAAGCTTATTTTCTCCAAACCACCGTTCTTGTTTTAGCTGCAGCCTCAAGCTGTATTTGTTGGGGGGTGTTTTCTGTACAGAAGCCAGAAGTTGAGGAAGGATCTGCTGTGACCTGCAGCTTGGGGGAGGTGTATTTTTAATTTTCTCTCTGGTTCTGCCCTAGAAACTGATTGCTTGGCACTCAGGCTGTGCTGGGGGCTGCAGCATGGGCATCCCACCCTGCCATCCTCTGTCTGGGATGTGAGGAGGGTGTGAGCTGGAAGGGTGCTTGCTTCAAGAGTTCTGGGAGAGCTCTGCTCTCCTGCATGGCAATTCCCCTGGCTCTCACCTTGTGCTGGTGCCCAGACCTGTCACTGCCCCTATCTTTGTGTTTTGAATCCAGGTTTGAATAAGAGCTGGTGCTTTACTTGGATGCTTTTGGGGAGGCTGTGCACCTGGGGCTGCTCTTACTCCTGAGGATGACGGGCAGTGTGTAACTCCATTTGTGGAAGGTGGGATAGGAGGAAGATAGGAACAGAAAGCCTGACTTTGACTCCCAAAGAAATGTATAGTCTTGGAGTTATGGAGAATTGGAGTAGTACCACATCCTGGCACTGCAGCAGGGCAGAGAGGACCAGAATCTCTTTTTCCAGTGAAGTTCACTAACCATGTCAAACTGAGCAGGCCACATAGCATCACTACAACTTTCAGCTCTCTATCTGTTAAGTAAGAATTTGTGTTTTTGTCTGCCCAGGTGTTAAGTCTGGAGTCTGGGAACTGCTCTCATGTTTATCCATGCGTAAAATGTTAACAGAGCTTTAACCCTTTCTCCTCCCTACAACTGTGCTTTGACAGGGAGGCATGAGGGTTACTTTTTCAAGTCAATTGGAAGAAGCTTTCTGTCTGTAACTAGAGAACAGGGAGAGTGGAAAGGTGTGCTAGGGAGGCCCAGAGGAGTTTTTTGCAGGTCCAGAGGCCATGGCTGTTAGGGGTAAAAAGGACATTAGAAATTGGCTTTAATTGCCTATGACAGAGCCAGTGATGGAAAGAGAGGAGGAACTGGAGGGCTTTTACTGATCTGTGTCCCAGTTTGTACCCACATGCAAGAATGTCATGCTTGGCCATTTGAAGCAGGGTTGAGCAGGGATGGTGCTTCAAATTTGTTCTGGTGGTGAAGCTGTGAAGGCATGTTGCTAACAAGGTCTCAGAGATGAGAGATGGAGAACTAGGATGTTTGTACAGCTACTGCTTTCTGAGGAAAATGGGAAATGTGGGGAATAATTTACTTCTCATTTCTCTGTTGTTATTGAGGATGTATAGACTTACAGAACAGGAAGATCAAAGATGGCTCTTGGTTTTTTTTTTTCCCTTGGCTGGTTATTCCCATGTATGGTCACATTTAGAGTTTCCAAGAACAGACGCAATCCAGGGTGAGCCTGATTGCAGATACTGACTTTTTCCAGGCCTTGAATAGTGGAGGCATCCATGAGGAAGGAGTTTCCTTCTGATAAACAGTGAGGTATTGTTCATAACATCATGTTTTATTCTATTTTTCTCTCTCTTTTGCTGGAAATGTCAAGGCTCAGAATTGTGTTTGAAATTTTAAGGTTTTTTTGGAAAGAAGTATGAGAATAACTCACAACCTAAAAGCTCATAAAGTTGCTTCACACTTCTTCTGGTGGGGGGGCCAGCCCCTACCATATCCTCCCTGCTCATTATGGCAAAGGCAGCAGAGACCACCTGAAGGCTTTGTGTCCATGGGTACACAGAACCCAACAATTACTGCACATTAGACTCCACCAGGGAAGGATGTAGACCCATGTAGAGTTGCAAGCATTGTGATATTTAGGACTTCTAATAATTTTCTTGTGACTTTTTAATAGTTAAATGTGTAACTCTGGTGTGTTTCCTGCTCTGAAAAAGGATCAAGCAATGGTGACACAGTGCTACAAAAACCTCCCAGATTTTAGCAGGTAAAACCAGCACCATGGCAGTGTCCAGACAGACTCTTTGAGCCACCCACATGGGTTTTTTTCCAGCTCTTGCCTCACCACTTTCAGCAGACAGCAGGATATCATAATGGAGTCAGGCTGAACAGTGGGGAGCATCTTCCTTTGAAAAGCTTCTGTGAGAACTCCACTGAGCAAAGGTGGAGGGTCAGTGCCTGCTGCTGCTCCTCCTCACATGTCATTCATCTCAGAGAGGTTTTGTGCCAAGCTAGTTGTTTAATTTGTGGAAATAGCCAAATTCTCAGGGTCTCAGATGTCATTGTCTAACACCAGTAAAGTAAAAGCCAAAAAAATGGGCAAAGAGAGGAAGGAGATAAGGGGATAAAAAAGAAAAAAAATCACACCCCCCACACCCCCCCCAAAAATAACCAAAGGAAAGAGACTGGGATGTTAGATCCACCTAAGACTGTATTATTTGGTTGTCTTAGGCCAGTCCTGGTGGTGTTGACAACTTGGACTTTGTTTACCTTTGGGAGAGGTGTTTTTTTGTTTGATTAAAAGTTTTTTTGACTGAGTTCTTAATTTGTTTCTTCTCATCTACAGCAGGGATGGGGGAGAAGGGTGTTACTCCTGTGAGGGGTGCAGAGTGTCCAACAGAAGCATTCGTGTACCGTCAGGATGAGGGCAGTATAGAAAACATACAGCTGGAAAGAGGTTAGTTCTTTGTAGGTTCCCATATGGCTCTTCTGTCCATCAGTGTTAACCTGTTGTTTTGAGGCAGGAAAATGTGCATGTTTTGTGTGTTAAAAATACGTATAATTTTTCATGAAGAGAAAGGAATGGAGCAGTAGGAAGCAAGGGAGCTCTAGTGAAATTATCCCTGCTTATATTTATTTTCTCTGCTGGATGCATTTGTTGCTGTGCTAAGCTGTATCTGATTGTATTAACTCTCCTCATTCAACTGACATTTCCTGTGTAAAGCAACCAGTGCAGAATTAAAATGAAAATCTCCTTACCTTGGGAGGAGATTACCTCTCACAGAAATCACAGAATATCATGAGTTGGAAGGGACCCACAAGGGCCATCAAAGTCCAACTCCTGAGCTCTCCAAGCATGACCACATCTCTGCGGGCCATGCTGGGTCCTGGTGGCCCTGGCTCTTGGCTGGGGTGGGAGGAAGCACACTCCTTCCCATCCGTTTCCCTCAGTGACCCAAGAGCTGTTTCACTCCAGGCTCTTTTATTGAGAAGGCAAGGATTGATTTGTGCCTGCCAGACTTCAGGCATTGCTTGGGGATTGATTTCCCTCCCCTCCTCAAATGAATTTATTTGCTCTTTTCTGGGCTTTCCTTCTTTCGCTCTGCTTGATAACAAGATTTTTTTTTCAAGTCATCAAAATTATGATTTTAAAATTTCCTTATTCTTTTTACTCTGGATAGAAATATGTTTTTTCCCCAAGGGTGTCTTTAGCATTTCTTACCTCTCTCTGTCTCAGTTTGTGTCTCTTTGCCCATGCTCTCTTAAAAATAATGAATGTGCCTTCTCTGAGAGGTCTGTTTTGGTTGTGGATGTGCCCCATCCATGGATGTGAGGCACATTGTCAGCTGAGGTGCTGGGCACAGGAGCAGGGTGCAGTGTGCTGTGTGTGGGACCATACCAAACTGTACCTGTCAGAAGGGAAATTCAGCTTACATATAAGGAAAAAGTGTTTTACTGGTGAGGGTGGTGAGACACTGGCACAGGTTGCCTGGGGAGGCTGTGACTGCCCCAACCCTGGCAGTGTTCAAGGCCAGGTTGGATGAAGCCTTGAGCTTCCTGGTTTAGTGGGAGGTGTCCCTGCCCAGGGCAGGGAGTTTGGACTAACGTGATTTGTAAGGTCCATTCCAACCCCTAGAATTCTATGAAGTCAGTTCAGCTCTGCCCAGCCCTGGGGACTGCAGGAGCTGTTATATAGCTGAACCCATAGTGTCCTGCCTCCCTCACTCCCTGTGATCCCATGTGTGTGCCAGGAGATAATCCACAAGATCTCAACTCTTGTAGGCCTCCTTTAAAGGAAAAGTTTTGCTTTCTTGCTCTCTAGAACATGTAGTGCTGTATAGGGTGTAGAGCTCCCTAATGTTTTTCCTCTTCTCCTAGCCTTGATCAGAACCATTTCCAGGTGGACAGCTTCCAAGTAGGGTCATCTTCCTCAGCAGTCCTGGAAAGTACTTGGGAGCACCCTAGCAAGGAGACACCATTGTCTGGGGGTCATTGTCATTCTCCAGCATGGTGTGCTTGAGCACCTCTGTGCTCTCCCAGCTGTCATTGAGGTTGCCCTGGCTTTGGTTAAAGGTTGTGTCTCTCTAAGGAGAGTCTGTCTTTGGGGCTTGTGTTGCTTATAGTAAGTGGCTGATGTGGTTGTTGTGCCCCAAACATATGTTGCACAGACAGTGGCATGAATTCAG